CAGAGATCTCTTCCACCAGCATCAGAGATCTGTGTCCTGCTTTCTGGAGTCACCAAAGAATGCATCAGGTGCTTGGTGGAAATACCCATGATACACTGGGAAGATGGGACCCTGCAGCCAGAGTTCCTGTGTCACAGAAAAAGCAGCACAGGGGACTGAAGAGCTCTGCAAGCTGAGTAACACAGCAGGTTTTTAGCACAGCCCTGAGCAGGGGGAAGTCCCCAGGAAGGACTAGGACTGAATTTCCTACAAGCCTAACAGGATGGGGGCTGATAGTGAAAATGAAATTGGATGAGAAGAAAGAATGAAATGGGTTATCTAGTTCACTGAATTCTTTACCTGCTTGAGCGCAACTGCACCCATCTTCTCAGGCTCCCGCCCTGCCCCATGCACCTTCTGATCTCCTGCTCTTGTCTTTTGGCCCCAGATTTCTGGTTCACTAGACCTGCTGTCAGGACTATGTGCCAATCTTCACAACTTCCCTCCTGCTTTTTTGGACTATGGGTTTCCTTCGGTGCTGTTGACTCTGCTGGCAGCATGGGTTTGGGAATCTTCTATTGAAGAAGTAGAAGTCCTGCTATAGGGAGTTCCAGTACACCCCAAACTGGACCAACCTACCTCTGGCCTCCAAGGGTAGGAGTGAGAAGGGACACAAGTGCAGAAAGTTTTCCCCTCTTCTCTACCTGACAGCACTTTATTCACCCTTCAGGACCTTGCTCAAATGTCACCCCCTGGGAGCCTTCCCTCACCCACTAGGCAGGGCTCCTTCTCGGGATTTCCACAGCATTTCGTTTATACCTCTGCGCTTATCACAATATATTATTATGTATTTACATGGTGTCCTTTTCACCTTGACTATGAACACCTTGGGGGCGGTGACCACATCTCATTCACCTGGCACAATGTCAGCTACAGAACAGGGACTCACCCTAAGTGCCATTTCTCCAAGAGTGCGTCAGACTCTCATATGCTACTCTATACTTTTTCTCTGTACCGGGTAGAAATGCATTTAGCTGTAAGTAACAGAGAACCTGACTACAGCGGCTTAAATAGCGTCTTATTTTTCTTACACAAAGAGAAGTTTGAAAGTAAGCAACTCAGGGCTGTGAGACACCCAGCCTCTCCCTATCTTTCTATCCTGCCAATCTTAATGCAGCAGTCATAAGATGACTGCTATACTTATAAGTTCACATATGTACTTAGAAGCATATGTAAGTTCTAGGCAGGAAGATGTAGGAAGTGTGAAGAGTCATATTTTCCTATTTCATCAGGAAAGCACAGGTTTTGCCATAATACTTCTGCTTATATATCATTGGTTGGAACTATGTAACATGACCACCCCTAGCTGCAAGGGAAGCTTAAAAAGGGAAGGCAAGAGAGAAAATGGTGGAGCATGGGTATGAATGAGAACATTCTTGGGCCGCCCCCCCAGATCTACTGAATCAGAAACGCTGAGGATAGGGCCCAGTGGTCTGTACAGGAACAAGCCCTCTAAGTGATTCCAATTTAGCTGAAGTTGGAGAATCACAGTCATATCTAACAACTAGCATTATGGTAGGAAAAAATCCTAGGCTAGAATTCAAATGACATGTTTTTGTGAAATGATGCCCAACCAACTGAGCCACACTAGTCAGGGCAGAAATCACATATTTTTTTTTTACTGCAAGCTTTGTTACTTGCCAGCCAGGGGACCTTAGTTTTCTGATTTTTAAAATAGAAAGGAGAGAGAGAGACATCGATGTGAGAGAGAAATGTTGATTGTTTACCTTCTCATATGCACCTGACTGGGGATAGAACCTGGGTATATGCCCTGACTAAGAACCAAACCTGTGACCTTCTGGTCTACAGGACGCTGCTCCAACCAGCTGAGCCACACTGGCCAGGGTGCACTGATTTTAACACTGTAAAAATTCTTGTTAAATAAATAAAAAGCTGGCTGGTGCTAAGGAAGACATTCCATATGAGGTGACTCGAGAGTTCAGAGACAAAATAAAACTTAAGTGAGTATGGTGGTCACTATATTTTTCAGACCATAAGACACACCTAGGTTTTAGAGGAAAATAGGAAAAAAATTTTTGAAACAAAAAATGTGGTAAAATATTTAATAACATAAATAACATAATATTTCACCAATGTAAATGTAAACAGAACTCAACAGCAGAATTAACAACCACTATTCACCCCAAATTGGTGGGGGGGGTGTGCATCTTATAGTCCAAAAAATATGGTAATTTCATGTGTGGATGGAGAACCCTGACTAACGCAGAGGGGAAATTTCCTAACTGGAACTGAGTGCTTTATTTTCTTGTGCTCCTCTGTATTGTTTTGTAGGTCACCATTCCAGAAATGGGATATTCTCTTGGCACCATTTCTAATGTTTGCAATGATTGTATAAAATCAATACAAGACTAAAAATTCCATGTGTTGGCCTCTTAGAGCCTTGATGTCTTTCACAAGACCTTTTCTGGGGGTAATAATGACAGAGGAACCTTGCAATAGGCTGATCACAGTTATGTAGCTGACGCACTCAGTAGAGTGCAAAATACGCTGGAAAAGCAAAACTACCCGTAAAAAGTATAAAGAGAGAAAAAGTTACGACAGCAAGGGACAAAAATAGAAACTGAAACCACAGACATTCAAAATACACTCTTATCAAAAACAAATGTTTGTATCGGCCACAGTGGTTGCTGCTACAGGTGGTTTCCATGAGAGGAAAGAGGACAGACGTGGTTTCAAAACAAATACTCTAGACAGAGGATAATGAAATGGAGCATTTAGGGGAACAGTTTGTAAAAAGATATGAAACAAATGGACAGGATTTGGTGTTCTGCCATTTGGATTAAAAATGCCGAGACACCATGGTCCGAGCACCAAGTACAGTGTCCATCCCTCACTATAGTAAAACCTGCTCTCTCAGTTCTGTGTTTCTTCATTCCAAAACAGACACCCACATAATAGGCGCTGAGAAGTCTTTACCAGTGAACTTGGACAATTCATCACCTGCCCACTAGGCACCACAAAAGTCACAGTCAGATCTCCATTAGTCTTCATGTAACTTTCTCAGGTTTGGAAATTGCCATGACTAAAATAGCAGAGCCGTACCGACATCAGGAGAGTGACCTGTCTACTCAGGTGGAAATGATGGTGTCAAGAAAGGTTGACAAAGCTAGGAATACATGCAAAACCAACAAATTGTGAACTTTAAATGGGTGGATCGTATGACATGTGAATTATATCTCGATAAACCTGTTACCTGCTGTGGCTTAGTTGACGGAGCACTAGCCTGCGAACCCAGAGGTCACTGGTTCTATTCCTAGTCAAAGCACATGCCTGGGTTGGGGGCCAGGTCCCCAGTTGGGGGCGAGAGGCAACTGATCGATGTTTCTCTTCCTCTCTTTCTCCCTCCCTTCCCCTCTTTCTAAAAATAATAAATAAAACATGTTTTAAAAAGTAAAGCTTTTACCAAAAAAAGGAGGAGAAGGAGAAAAAGAAGGAGAAGGGGAGGAGGAAGGGTTTGCAGGCAAAGATTCCATGACACAGAGGCTGTGAGGCAGCAGAGGAATTGTATGCATGTCCATTAAATTTGCCTGTACAAAATGTGAAGCCAAGGCTTATTTATTGATTGATTTGTTTAACATCTGGGCTCCAACACGCAAGTACTATGATAAGAGAGTTTTTAGAAGCAAAATCATGAAGTCACGTGTTCCTCAGAGCTGGTGAAAGAGGGTAGCAATCCGCATATGAAAGTCTGAAACTGAGGCTGACCTGAAGCCAAGCTCAGGTTGAATAAAGAATAAAGAGGCCAATACAGGATTACAGATTCAAAACGTTAACCACTTTTGGAACTGGATTTCTGGGGGGTGTTTTAGTTCATCAGTCACGTGGAGCCTCACCTATTTCTCTTCCTTCCCCTTCCGTGAACCCATGACCTACCTCCCTCGCCCCACCCAAACCCTGAGTGCAGTGGCGGTAGGCAGCTGGGACAGCTATAAGTCCATGTGCGGCCATGTTTCCTTTGCTTCCTTCCTGGGGAATTGTTATGGTGATTACTGCTCCCAAGGACAGGTACTGAAATGTAGTTCATGGGATAGAGAGTCCCAGAGTTAGCATTTCTGGGGTCAAGTACAAGCCCTGCAACTCACAGTCATTTAACGCCTCTGGATCCCACCCTCTCTCACGCATTCGAGGACTTTGCTACTGTAATGACCCCTCTCTCTCCTGCAGCCACAGTTTCAGCTTCTCCACCATGCCGTGCTCACCAATAACATCAGCAGCTGAAATTTTTCACCCAGTAAAATTGCAAAATAAAAACAAAACCTGCCTGTCTCCCCCATTTGCTGCTGGCTCCATCACAATCCTTTGCTCTCCCTCACAGCAGAATTCCTAACAAAGAATTTCTTAGTGTTATGGGCTGCATTGTGCCCCCCCCTTCATATCTTGAAGCCCTAACCCCCAGCACCTCAGAATGTGACTGTATTTGAAGAGAGGGCCCTTTGAGGGGTGATTAAATTACCAGAACAGGAGATTAGAACACACAACACTGACAGAGGGAAAACCTCTGTGGGAGGACACAGGCAGAAGACCGCCATCAGCAAGCCAAAGAGAGAGGTCACGGGAGAGACCAACCCTGTTGACATCTCACTCTTGGACTTCTGGCCTCTAGAACTGTAAGAGAAATAATACCTGTTGTTCAAGCCACCTGGTCTGTGGCACTTTGTGATGGCAGCCACAGCAAACTAATAGACTTTCTCCATTTTCTCACCTCCTAGGCTCTCCTTCTTGTGATTGTCTTTTCTCTTGTTAACCCACTCGAGTCAGGACTGCATAGCCACCCACCCACCGAGCTTCTCGTCCAAGATCACCGCTGACCGCCGTCTTGCCAGACGCACAGCCCACTTTGCCTCCCTCCTCACGTTCCGCTTCCCCGCAGTTGGTCACGCTTCCCTTCTTGAAGACATTTTAGCACTTGGATTTCATTATCGCACTAAGTCGTCACTCACCTCATGGGCTGCTCCTTCTCAGACTTTTTAGTGGAATATTCCTCATCCCTTTCTCTCCTAGATGTCAGAGCTCCAGGCCCAGGTCTCAGTCCTCTTCTCTGCCCATGGTCTGTCCCAGGCCATTCCATCCAGTTCTATGGATTTAAATATTATTAAGAAGCTGATAAGTCACACATTTACATATATGTCCCTTGAGCTCCAGGCTCAAATATTCAATTGTCCAAACATTTCCTCCTGGGTATCGAAAAAGCATTTTAAATTCAACATGTCTAAAACTGCAGACTACCGCCTCTAATTTCCCATCCCATTTAGAATGAAATCCAAACTTCTCACCCTGCTCCCAAGTTCCCTAGTGACCAGCGCCCTGCCCATCTTTCTGAATTGTCTCCTCCCACTGCCCCCTCCCCCCACTGCCCTCCAGCCGCACTGCCAGTCCTCTAGTGCACACCTGGCTGTTCTGCCGCCCCTGGAGTCACTGGTTAGAGCTGCAGAGCTACTTACTCCTCTACGTCATTCAGGGCGTGGCTCAAAATTCCCCTTCCAGAGAGGACTTCCTTGACCCCTGTCTTGCACACCTCTCTCCTGCAGGCTGTAGAACTCAGTATACTTAGGTTGCACTTAAAATATTTTAGTAACCTTATACCACACATTATATTAAGAGTTCTATATGCATGATCTCATTTAATTCTCGGAACAGCATAATGAGGCATTCTAATCACCCTCATTTTACAGATGAGGCCCCTGAGGCTAAGGGAAGTCGCATAACTTACACTAAGGCCTGATTCCAGAGCTAGTGCTCCTAACCATTAGGTTCAGCTGTTTCTCACTGTAAATGCTGTTCTTAGTTATAAACAACCTGGTTTCCAGGAGTTTAGTTTTCAGGATTGGTTGGTTTCAACTGCATGTGTGTTTGAGCAGGTAAAATAACTCAGGTGTACCAGTGTGTGCAAGGGAAGGGCTTATTTAAACATTTGGATAACATGAAATGCAAATGAGCTAAGGACAAATTCAAAAGTGACTCTAGGCCACCTGTGTGGTTCTTGCTTATAGACTTAACTAAAGATGAGGATATTTTATCCTTAACCTTGTGTGTTTTTTGGGCTCACGCTCTCAGAAGCGATTGAAAATTTTAAGCTTTAGGGTTTTCTTCTTCCTTTTAAAAAATCCTATTTTCACAATGTGATTAGAAACAAAATCCTTAGACAAAATTCTATGAGGTGGTAAGAACAAACATTTATCAAACACCTACGTGTCCCAGGTGCTTTTCTGCTTTTACTGTCTCTCTGAGTGGGATTCGTTTCCCTCTTTTACGGTTGAGGAGACCAAGGCACCCAGGAGCTAAGTGACTGTCCCTGTTACAGAGCAGGAACTCTCTAATATCCTATCCCTTCCTTACCAGGTAGCACACGCTCCAAAGTGGTTTTGCCTTCCCATCATGGAATACAATTGATTCCCTGAGGCCCAATCTGTGAGGCCTATTCTCAGGGCTCTCAAATTTAGTTCCATGATATAATAATAAATAGGAAAAGTTATTTCTCAGGGACCTATATGCCATTCTGCAAAGGTATATATCCCAAAACAGAAGGTAAAACCCCAAAAGAATGCAAAGGAGTTCCAAGTTGTGTGGCCAGTCTTCTGCGACCTGTAGGCTGATGGGTCTGCTCAGGTAACCATCAGATACCAGATCGCACCAAATTCTCGGTGACACCATTTAGCATGAAAACAGTGCTAGTCCTTGAGCACAAGGCTCTGCACTGGCTCTTCTGGCTGCCTGGGCTGCCTCTGCCTTCACACCCTTCCATTCTTGCTGCACAAGTGCCACCTCCTCGGAAAAGTCCTCCTGACTATCCTAGCTCCCCACCAGCCTCTCTCTAACCTTTTACCTAGCTCTGCTTTATTCCACAACACTTATTACATTATATGTGTACTTGCTTATTGTATTTTGCTTATCTTCTCCAATAGATGGAAGTCTCCTGAGGGCTAAGACTTTGTTTGTTTTGTGCCTGGATTAGAGTAGGTGCTTATTAAATAATTATCGAATGAATGAATGGATGCTGTGAACAGAGCTGATGTGAATGAATGGGTGGATGGTGTTCAACCTTTACAGGGCTATGCTATTCATATCCTCCCTCTGTCTGATCTACAAAGGGAAAGACATGACTACAACCACCAAAGAGCAGGAGAAGCCCCGAAAGACGAGAAATCCGAAACCTCCTGCCTCAGATTATCAACATGCTTAGGTCTGGCTTTGCCAAAACCATGAAAACCCTGGACATTTAAGAACACAAATTAATCTTGCAAAATGGAATGGATATTTAAGGTAGTTAATTCCAGAGAAAAGAATAACCCAATAAACAAGTTTTCCTTAAACAGGCAGACTAGGCAGCTGTGTAGGTTACATAGTATTAATCATGTTGTCAGCGTCATCCTTTTGAGAATGGCAGAAAGACATGTTCTACTCAAGCTGTCCCCACAATAGAGTGATTCATGGTTACAGACCCCACCTGGGGCTGCTTCTGGCACCTGCAGACTGCTGGGCAGTGACCCAGAAGTGGCCCTGTGAGTAAAGAGGTAGCTTTGGCAGTGGGAGCTTTGCTCACGCACTTGAGATAATGCTGCGACTGCCCCAGAACCAAGCCAGCCTGCCCCACAGAGTGGGTCTCTTCAAGCTTATGGAGGCACATCCTATATCATGTTCTAGGCCACATCCCTTTAGGGTGGCTCGCTCTCTGCTCCGCTATAAGGATGTGTTTTCATATAATTTGAAATAATCGGGTACATTGTGCATTCACCTAGAAACTGAACAGCCTTTACAGCGAGGACTTGACAGAAACTGGAGAAAGCACCTGAGTCTGGGGGACTCATGGCTCACTCACCTTCCCGCCTATGCTACCCCAGCTCCTGAGGGCTCTCGTCCCCTCACACCGGCTGCTGCTCAGGGGATCCCACTTCCCTTCTCCCTTCTGGTGCCTCAGCCAGCACACAGGCCCCTTTTCATTTTCAGGATTTTCTTTCTTTTCTTTTTCTTTTTTTTTTTTAAATCCTCACCCAAGGACATGTTTATTGATTTTAAAGAGAGGGGAAAGGAGGGAGAGAGAGAGAGAGGGAGAGAAACACTGATGTGAGAAACATCAATCGGTTGCCTTAGGTACTGACCGGGCACCAAACCTGCAACCTAGGCATGTGCCCTGGGGAATCGAACCCACAACCTTTCTGTTTACAGAACAACACTCCAACCAGCTGAGTTACACCAGCCAGGGCATCAGGATTTTATTTCTAATCACCATTGGACACAGGGTTAAAAAAACCTAATATGTGGGACTACAACGTTTCCAGAATCTTCAAAAGCTATTCCACTTATGGCTCTGGTATCATTTCTGACTTCTTGCAGAGCTGGTGACCAGCAGCCCAGTTAGATTTCTGTTTTCTGCTTTTATTTCAGAAATTGGGAGTTCACCAAACCTCTTGCTTCCTTCTGTTTCAGGCTTTCTGGGGACAAAAACAGATCCTTTCTTCCCTTTCTTCGGACAACAGGTTTCACTGGAATTCGAAGTGATTGTTCTTCTAAATTAAAAACAAACCCCGAAACCATTCTGTCTTTTCCAAACACCTGACAACATGCTGGCTGGGTGGCAGAAGCTCAGAAGACTGTATTTATTGATGGACAGATTCAAAATAAACTGGGCTGGCCTCACTTTCAGGTTCTCCTCAGTACAGACGGGATGACTTGTTGTTTCTTGTCCCGAGGTTGCCCCAAGTAGCCACCCTACGGGGTTCCCCATCTGCAGTTTGGTCGGAAACAACATTCTTTAGCAGCCTTGATGCAACTGGCAGGGTAATGCCACAGCCTGCCTTTGTAGGCAGGAGGCAGGGGCATCAGCTGCATTGTTTCTGGATGTTGGCATAAATGTGGCCTTGCCCTGTGGTCCTTCAGAACAAAAAAAAAACTTGAGGTTGAATCCCTTTTGTTGGGGTAGAGAAGGGAGTGTATTGAGCTTCATGGAAGACAGAAGACTCTGACAGATGGGGAAAGGGTCACCCCTGCAGCAGGGGGTCGGACTGGAAGTGGGTACTATGGCAACCCACTGAGAATTGTCCTTCGAATTAAAGGATGGTTGGGTTCACTGGGTCTGCCCAGGCGGGGAACCTGGCTGGGTCTTTGTCAACTGACAGATGAGAGGCTGCTTTGCAGCTGTGTGATTTGACGGTTGGGTTGTGTTCAGACAGCTCTCTGCTGTGGAGATGACATCACTCCCAAGTCTCACTGCATGAGCATGTGTAAGCCAGTGGCAGACCCAGGAGGGATGCAGTGGGAAAGGCTGACCCCAGGTTCAGGCAATAAGCAGTGGATTTCTGTTCGTGTGTATAGAGAATATGAAAACTAACTAAAAGTCAGTGTGTTTATTTTTTAAAAAATTTTATTTATTGATTTTAGAAAGAGAGGGGGAAAGAGACACCCATTTGTTGTTCCACTTATTTATGAATTTATGAATTCACTGTTGCTTCTTTTGTATGTGCCATGACCAAGGATCAAACCCACAACCTGATGGCGACACTCTAACCAACTGAGTTTACCTGGCCAGTGCTTGTTTTTTTTATTATTTTCATGCTCAAACAGTTCCAAATAACGTCAGTGATAAAATACTTCTCCCTCACAGGAGCAGACTTCTCCCACACCCCCACCATCACTACCTTCGTACACCACTGGGATAAACAAGCCCCAGGTGGGAAAATGATAAATCAGCAACGAAGTAAACAGAAAGCAAATGACGCCTAAGGTAAGATAAAAAATGTTCTTTTACCCAAAACTCCACTTTGTGCGATGGGCCTTTCTGTTGTTTAGCTTTCTGTTTCAGTTACCTGTTGCTGCTTTTAAAATCACCCCAATACTTAGTGCCTTAGAGCAACAGTCATTTATGTGCTCACAATTCTGCAGTTCTGGCAAGTCTCAGTGAGAACGCCTCATCTCTGTTCCTGCTAGGGCTGGCACTTCCTGGTGGGCACTTTTACCCCTGTGCCTGCTGTCTCAGCTGGAATGGGCTAAAGATCCGGGAGTGGCCAAGCAGCTCGCTCTTTCCAGGTGCCCTTCCACCGAGGCAGGTTAGGCTTCCTCACAGCATGGTGGTCTCTCCTTATGTGGCAGCTGGCTTTTCCCAGAGTGCACAGCAGTGGTTAGGCCCTTTTAATGTCTGGCCTTAGAAGCCCTAGAACATTATGTCTGCCACATTCCATTGGTCAAATCAATCACAGGGCCAGCCCCAATTCAAGGGGAAGAAAAACACTCCACTCCGTGATGAAGGAGACATTACTGTGACCATCTGGGGAAACACCGTCTACCTCATATTGTTTTCTCAGTCATAGCAAGGCACTGAGTCATTCACATTCCTCCTTTAATGGTGA